TGCAGGGAATTTATTGCTTTTTAAAGAAAAACAAAGCATCAGGCATTAAGGGGATGCAGTGCTGATGCTGCAAGTATTGAACAGCCCCCCAGCCTGGGAAATGCCAAACCTCGTGGGCAAATATTTCCTCCCAATGTAACCGAAAGCAGAACCTGGCCTGGCTGCTGCAGAGCGGTTGGGAAGGTTACGCTGGATGAGGTCCTGCTCAGGACCAGGCTCCACATTTGCTCTAAACCATGTGGCTGGGCTTGTAGGTAATGCTCTGGGTCACACTCTGTGGGTGATGGGTGTCCCTGTCCTTCTCTGCACCCAGAGGTCACTCAGCACCTCGGGTACAATGGCCGGTTTTAAAAAAATGACCCAAAATGTAGATGGTACGAGGAGTTTGTATGATACAGCTCTGCACTATAAATGCTGAACATTTCTGAAATGCACTAGAAAACAGCCTTTCCCAGTGAGCTGCTGCTAACTTACCAGCATTTCCACCAAGGAAGTCGCCTAGAACCAGTTTGTATTTCTCAGACTCTCCTAAAACTCTGAATGAAGCGTACTTGGCAAAATAGTAGTTGTTTTCAAAGTCTCTCAGGTCAATGCGGAGTTCACAGGGTCCTAGAAGAGAAGGTGAACAGCGGTGGTGCAGGGCTGGTGGTGAGTACACACCTGGATTTCAGGGGGGAGGGTTCAAGGAGCCCTGAGCTAATGTGAGAGGAGCTTCCACTACTTGAGAGATTATGATTTATTTGGAATTCCTGCAGAATCTCCTATCCATCTTTGATGGTTTTCTTGTGAAGCACCTTTTCTGATCTGATGTTGGGTGGTCATAGGCACTGAGAGCCACATGCCCAGGAGCCCTGCACACAACTGTGACTCCAAGGCTGTGTGTGACCAAGATGATTGCCATCACAACCAGTCCTAGCAGGGAGATGTGTTGGCCTATCTCCAGGACAGGTCATGCAGCCAGCTCATTCTCTTCCCTGGCTTCTAGTTTTCCTTTTTTTTGAGTGCAATTCCCTGTGTGCGATGGGTGCAAGAGCCTGGATACTGTTTAGGATTAACTGTTGGGGCCTCAGGCAGATGCAAGAAGTTCAGAGTCCTTTAATGACCAGGTGTGGTACAGGGGTTGGGCTCAGGGCCCCAGCCCGGGATGGAGGCAGACCTTACCCAGCGAGGTGAGGAAGTGGATGTTGTCATTCCCCAGCCAGAACTCTGTCAGCTGGTTGCCAAAGCCTCGTTTGTATGAGTCCCAGTCTCGCAAGAAGTTCACTGACCCATCCCAGCGCCTCTGGAAAACCTGCAGGAGAGGAGAGCCTCAGCCCCGCCAGGCCACCCCCCCCGAAAGCATCCACGGTGCTGGTGGCACAGCCCCTGCAGCGAACACTCCCCCTGCGTCAGGACGCTCCTGCGGGTCTCTGGGGACCGAACCCCAGGGCAACCCCTCGCTCGCAGATCTCCTCCATCTGCCCTTGGAAACGAGGAGGAAATGATTTGCTGATTTAAGCAGGGAGGGGGTCTGTGGTGCTCAGCCTGCTCCCAGAGACATCTCCCGGGAGAATCTGCAGGGATTCACCCAGGCTTGCTGATGTGAACCTCAGCTGTCCCCTCAGTGTGTGTTTTCCTCCCTTTTTGTTTCTATTTTGGTGCCATCCTTTGCAGCCTTAATAAAAATCACTGTAGGGACACAGAAACCTCCCACTCCTCATCCTACTCACAATCCATCCTCCGCCGTCTGTGTCCATGTCGCAGAAGACGGTGGTGGCGTTGCAGCCCTGGGGGTAGATGGTGTACCAGCCGCTCAGGATCTTCCCTTTACCCAACAGCTCTTGGCAGTTTCTGGCTTCTGTGCA